TGCTCTATACCATCCCAGACATCAGTGATGTTTCGCCCTCTGGAGGCTTTGTGGCAGAACTCATGAGGCCTGAGTTGGACCCGGCGTACCTCCACCCCACCAGCCTCCACGGCAAGTTTGTGGTCAAAACAACAATGGACATGGGAGAATACAGCCAAGGCATGAGCGTGAGCAAGGCCTGCGTTAACGCCGTGTCAGACCCGACTCCTTCGCGCGCCTCGCCATCCTTTTCATGCCATAGGATAAAGCAGGAGAACCCCAGTAACTGCACCATCTCGCAGCCCATGGACCTACACCTGACTGGGGTAAACTCCCAGGGACGAGGTAGCCAGCAGCAGCGCCCCAGCCACTTGGATCTACACGGGTTCCCTGGTGGAGGGCGATCCATGACGGGCGGCAGGTTATCCTCATCCTCTTCCCTGTCCCCAGACCATCCCCTGAGCCGGGAGCACCAGGTGTTGGGCCACCCCCACTCTCAGATCCCTCTACCTCCACAGGGATACCACCATAGTTCTCCGCAGGGCTACAGCTCCTTCCCTCAGACATCGGCCATGCAGTACCAAGGTTAGAACACATCTCATTCGGTGCTATTTTGTCATTTTCTTGTCATCTTTAACTGCTGCTGAATTCTGTAACTTAAACTAGGAAGCATTTTGTCCATTAGTCAAAGAAAAACGCCCACAGCACAGTTTGGACATCAGGAATAAACACCATAAAGTCAACAAGGGTTCAAAGGGTTGGCGAGGATCTTTTTATCCTAAAAATGCTTAAAACAACCAAAATACAGGCATTATATTTCCATTTCACGGTAAAAACTTTACTAATGTGATATTCCTGTTAACCGCGCCACTATTTACACAGTTTATGTTATATTATTTAAAAAGAAAGCTGAAGTTTTGTAAATTATTCTACAACTTTCATATCACTTCACGTCTGATGCTCTTTTAATGAAATCTATAAAATCCAACATGGCATCGGTCAGCGATCTCGGATTCATTTTTAAGTGTTTTACGGTCAGGTACTGTGATGACAATAATCTTTTGACCCCACAGAGTCCCTCATGATCTCCAGCGGCGACTGCTTGCCGGAGGAGCCAAAGCCTAAACGTGGTCGACGCTCCTGGCCGAGGAAGAGAGTCGCAACACACACGTGTGACTACGTCGGCTGTGGGAAAACTTACACAAAGAGCTCCCATCTTAAAGCACATCACCGCACACACACAGGTATGAAACAGCACGTTAGATCTACTATATGGTGTATTTCTGTGATTTGTTTCTGGTGCCCTTTAAATCTGGCTTTAATCGTATGTGCTCACAGCTATTTTGAGATTCAGGAGAACTACTTGTTAAATGTCCAAACCAACCACATCAGTTGCACATTATGGGCAAACACACTGGATTATTGAGTCATGAATGGGGTTTAGATGGGTGGGGGATGGGGGAGAGGAGTTGTTGAGCAGGTGCGGTGAAACAGGTTGATACTGATCCCTGCTCAAATACAAACCCTGAGCTGATTGGTTTGGCCTTTACACACTAGCTGCAGGACAGGATGGACCTCTTTTCTCCTGGAGGTGGGGAAGCCTGGGCCATTTTAACCTCAGGGCCAGTACTAACTGCTCCATGTGTATTGTGTTTCCATCAAAGGGGAGAAGCCTTACCACTGCGACTGGGAGGGCTGTGGCTGGAAGTTTGCACGTTCGGATGAGCTCACTCGCCACTACAGGAAACACACAGGCCACCGGCCGTTTCAGTGTCAGAAATGTGACCGGGCCTTTTCAAGGTCAGACCACCTCGCTCTGCATATGAAGAGACACTTATGAGACTTGGTTGGAGGACCGGACAAGATGGCGATGGATGAAGGCTCCAGGACAAAAGAAATGTTAACAAAACCCTGAACAAACTTGTGACCTACACTTTTAAAAACCAAAATTTGCCTTCAAGCCGGTGTCAAGCAACAAGACAAGCTGTGGTGTTCATGGCAAAAAGAGCATTACTCCTTTAAGAACCTAAAATTTCTCTCAAGACTGATCCTGTGTTCGCACATGGTGCGGGTGACTCGACAAGACCTCTCAGCCAGGGTTGTAAACTTTTATGAAAGGGACCAAACTGGAATTTGTCTTATTTAACCGACAAAACTTGGAGGACCAGGTGCCAACAGCTTTTAACTGGAAATGTATTTTTGTCAGGGAAACCAGGAGCAACAGACAAACATCTCCAGAGGCCTTCTACCAGCAACTTGTCATCATAGGCTCTGTTCACTACACACTGTTCAAAATACTGTATTAATAAATACATCTATATTTATATACACATTTCACCTGCAATGCCATTGATTTCAGGTACAATGTTAATTTATACAGAATGGTGCTCAGTAACTCTGAAGAAGGTTTTTTTTTTTTTTTTTTT